TGTTTGTGTGGCAATGCTATATTTAAGCTTTCAAGAATGACATTGAAAATAGGAGGGGATTCAGAAAAGCCACAAGAACAAGTCTGAAAAAATAAAATCTTTTTGCTATTATACTTGAGAGGCTTAATCCTTACCTCAAAAGAAGATACAGAGTAACTTGCTTACAATTCAAAAATAATTCACAAAGTGAAGACAAGATTAAGTAACAGACTAGTAGAAGAACTATGCATAGCTAGAATGGATTTTTCCATTAGGAGTGACATTTAATTTAAAAAAGTAAAATACATACATTAGTCTTTGCCAAAGGGAAATTTGATCATCACAGCTCTAGTTTTAAAGTAGGAGAGCTGTGGTTTGAGTGATAAAGATTAGATGGATGGTCACAGTGACCTTTTCTAGACTGAAGAAATGGCTGCAGTGGTGTCCACATTTCTCTGATGGAAAAGCTTGTCAGACTTGGCACCTTTTACAGGTAGCCTCAGCAGGGCGACCACCATCTCAGTGTCCCAGGGGAGTTGTTCTTGTGTTTATAGGTAAGCATGCCTGAATTTATTTTAGGGTATATGAAGTCCTAAGTTTGCCTGCCTTACACTGCTCAATGAGGCTTTTGTTCAGGACTATTAACTTGGCTCTCAACCTAGTGAGGTTTTAGTCTCACTGAAAGTGGGATGTTGGTATGTTTTGGTTTTGCTTTTTTCTTAGTTTGCTTTTGGGTTGATTTCCCCCCCCCCCCCTTAATCAGATAAGTTTAAAGAATATTTCCAGTATAAAGTAGTCTTGTACAAAATCAAACCTCCTCTCTGACTGTGTGTTCTTCTGGAGGCTTCTTTCTTTTTCTTTGTTCTGATGCAAAGAAGGGTTTTAGATGAATTTGAAGAGGGAGGAACACAATGTGTTCTTCAGTAGAAATGCAGGAGCTTTTGCCAGAATAGTTTAATATTTGTTTTAATGCACTAGCATAGGATTATAATGGACTTTCATCCTAACCTTACTAATATCTCCAGATTTGTTTTTGACCATATCTAGAAACTCCATAGGAAATTACTGATCAAGGTCCTCTGTCCTTGGGGGATAGCATGTCAGGTGGCCTTTAAGTGGGGTTTAGAGAGAGTGGCATGGATTTACATGCTTTATGTGGATTTACAGAGGAGCAAAGCCATGTGTTCCTTGGGCCATATTTTGATGATTAAGTGAGGCTTCTGGGCATAAAAGGGGAGTAGGTGGGGCAGCTTCCTTGTAGGTTTATTAGATTCTGGGACCCCAAGCACTTGGTAGTAACTGATACCAAGACTGAAGCTCAATGGGAGACTTGTGTGCATCTCTTAAAATGAGGTGACATCAGAATTGTGTTGCTGTGCTGGTGAGGTCAACTTATGTATGATCTCAGCTGTTTGTATTCATAGCTGCATGTCAAAACCATGGAATGCAAATTGTCAGGTGACTTGGGTTTTGTGGTTTCTCAAAACAAAGGGAAACCACTAACAAAGTAAATTCAAAATTATTATTGTCATTAGTTGATTGTTAAAAATTGTGCAAACCATTCCGCTGAGGTTGATTTGACTATTTACATGCTTAGTGATCTGTGCAATCAAATACTTTCATAATGATTAGGATTTTTGCTGTACTCCTGGGAGAAGGCATAGCTTAATTTTCCCCTGCAGTTTGCTAAGAGGCTCAAATTGTTTGCAGTGGCTGCACTTTGAAGATGTAAATGTGAAGGGAAGCTGGTTTTTTTTCTATCTTATAAATAACTCAGCTTAGTCCTATTTAAGTTTACATATTTTTTTCTGGAACATGACTTCATGTAGTTGGACTGTTCCTTTTCTAAATGACATATGAGAATCACTTGGTTATTTGTATCCAAGTAATACTTGGTTCTTACATAAATGTCTTCTGTAAAACTTTTTGGTTGTCACTGAAGGTGGTTTTCCATTTATGCTTATTTATAGTTTTCTGGATATTTTTTTGCTTCAGATGGAAAATGCTAATATATTGTTGGCTGGACTTAATTTCCTTGGTGATTAAATATAACATAACCATAAATGCCTAAGATTATCCTCAGGCAAAGTGTTTGTTTGATGACTTATAATTAAACCTAGAAATGCGTATATGTTAAAAATGAGTTGCTGTTTTCATTTCTTAAATGTCATACTACAATCTGATTTATGTCTTACTTCTTTTAATATTTGATGCTAGATTTTGTAACCCAGATGTGGCAACCTGCTTCAAATGCAGCCACATGTTGGGCATTATAGTACTCACTATAAGAGATGGTGTATTCATAGAAATGTCTTATTTTCTTCACTTCAGGGAAATTGAAATTGCCAGTAGTGTTAAAATTGTCCCTGTTGTTTCCCAAATCCATTGAGGGATCTCTTAATCACCAAGCCATATACTGAATAGGTAACAATTACAGATCTAAGTGAGCCTGTTTTCATGCAAAGTAGGGAAAAGATAAGGGTAGAAAGTTTCAGTGTGCTCACTCTCTCTTTTCCTGCTGATTAGATAAGGATTCAGAGCAGGCTCTGCATAAATAGCCTAAGACCTCAGTAGAAAGCTACAATTAATAAGAGGCTTTCTTGTTTGTCGCTCATGACAACACTTCTAAATGCCAGCAAGGATTTCTCAGAAGCTATAGCAGGTTTTAAGCTCTAGGAAAAAAAAAATCCTAAGTAAAGCTCAGTATCTTGAGTTTGGATTCTTGGAGCTGTTGAACTGGCTGATTCAGGCACTAATATAAATGTGTCTGTGATACTATGATCTTCCTACTTTCCTTCTGATTCCTTTTTGTTTGAGAAACTACTTTTCTCCTTAAAAGCATTGTTTCCTAAATCATGGTTTCCTAAATCAGACTTGGAGATTGTGAGTTTTCTTTTGCTCTCATGGCAGACCAGTTCTTGTATGCTGGCATTTTCAACACAAGCTAGACTTCAGTAAACTGAGGTATGACTGAATGTAAACCATAGGGTCTCTGGAACTACAGGGGGAAACCTTACAGATGTGAGTTAATTTCTCACTTTTCTCTGTGTCTCTTTCCAGAGTAATTGCAAAGAACTCAGTTTCTTCAAAGCAATGCAGTTGTTGGATGCCTGTTTTGGATGACCAGTTAAAAGTTCTTTCAACCTTTTTCAGTTAAAAGGCCAAGAAACCACAGCCTATCTACTTCAGTAGATTACATGCTCTCCATGTTGTTTTTATAATCTCAGAAACAACTGAAATATAACTGGCAGGATACAGCTTAGATGACCTGTTAAACATATTGCCCTTTACCTACACTCAAAGCTTTCATGTATACTTTTCTCAGAAGGGGAGGGGTGGATGTCTTTTCTGTCTCCACCCCTCACTGCCTTTTTGCATTACATGCTCAGAATATTAGTGGACAGCAAATACCTCCTCAAACAGTGATCAAACATAAAGACTTACCTTTAATTATCATGAATAAAATAAACATTAACATAATTTTTTTTCTAAAGCTGAACCGACTCAGGACAACTTTGCTCTCTCCTGTGTCAGGTGCACTTAAACATTTGACCTTGAAGTAGCACTTATGTGTTGTTGTGGCTTAAGAGCTTGATTTTTGAGTATAAGTAGATGACACACCATCATAATCTGTGAGTCTAGGGTGGTGTTCAGGGAACTCTTGAACTGCAAGAAGCAGGTATGTCCTCTATGGAAAAAAGAGTGAAAATATGAGAATCTTGAGGAGGTGGGAGCAGAATTTGCTCTAGTTTATTAAAAGACCCTGATAAATCTGTCTTTATTCTGGGATTGTTTTGACAACAAGCACAAACATAATGAAAGGGTAGACCAACTAACATACAACAGGAGTGTGTCAAAAGTAGTAAACATCCTGCAAGGTTATACACTAAGAAGTGGTTCCTTGTCTCCTTTCTTCCCCCATGCTAAAAGTAGATAGCAACAAATTTTATGGCAGAGATGGATTTAATGGTTAATGTCAAGTTCTGGAGTAATACAGTTGCTCAAGGAGAGAATAGCAGCCATGTGCTTAAGATCTTTAGAAAGTTTAAAAAAAAAAGTGTAAAGGAGGTCTTTTCATTATATTTATACCTGGTTTTACTAACACTTGAAAGTGATTTCTTCCTGTTTCAGCTATAGTCCAGCTGAGTCATGGCCTTATACAGCATTTAGTTAGGTGGTTAGGACAGCCTCTAAAATAAGTGTCCAACATCTGTCAAGAAAAAAAAATGACCCTGTTATAACTGCAAAATGAAAAATAGGGCTTTCACAGCAGAGTATTTTCTGGAGAACATGCTGAAGCTCTTTATTTGAATGGGAGCAGGAACACTTGTTTATAAGAATAAGGAGTTGAAAGTCCATCAAAATAGTCTCCTTTGCTGTGAGTTTGCTGCCCAATTTGAATCTCAAACGAATCATACAAACAGTGATCTCCTTGAATGTGAGGTGAGATGTAGAACAGAGCTGAAAATCAAGAAGTGATGGTGGTGCTGTTATTTGTGCTTATTGGAAGAAACTATTAGCTTTAGTCCTGCAAGTCTAGTTATACCAACTGGAGAAAAATCCAGTGCATTGTAATGTTCCTGAAATGGTACTCCAAGTAAGATGTTGGTGTTCTAGGTTGTGTCCTTGTGTCTAGCTAGTGACCTAAATGAGGACTTGATCTACTCTGTCATGTCTGTGTTGTGGCCTTGCTGCCTCTGTATTTAGCCTGTGCTAGAATATTTAGTCCCAGAAGGGCTCTCATCTCCTTATGAGTGCAGCAGATTGCCATCATACAGCTGTAATACCTTGTAATTGGCGTCTGGCCTGATACAGGGAATAGTTTGGCCCGTGCTGTCCTAAATACTCTTACATAAGCAAGCATAAAGTTACAGCGATGATCACATTTAGATACCACCTATTCTTTATTGCTCTTTTGATGTTCATTTGTTCTTCAAGATAAAATTACCCTTCCAGTATGAAGACAGTTGAAGGCTGAAAATAAATCTGTTTGCATAACCTTTTACTGTTCTTTGTTGCAGCTCTCAAGTTCCACTTACAAATATAGGAGTGAAGAATTCAAGAGGCAGTTTTCTCATCTGCCAGACTCAGAGAGACTCATAGTAGGTAAGACATAATCACAGCAAAAATCCTTGTCTTCTGGCTGATAACTCCGGATTGCAGAAGTGTCAAAGCGTTTTGATTTTTTTATGGTGAATTCTAACAACAGCTGATAACTTTCTATTCTCCTGTCTCTGAAATAGCACCAGATACCTTCAGGGAGAGTCAGGTCCATACTCCTCTCCTGTACTGACTGCTTTGGGAAAATGACAGATTCATTTTGGGGGTTGAGAAGTGAAGGAGAGGGTGCAGAATCCTCCACTTCATCTAGATACAGGATGGAAACCTTTTAATGACTTTTCCTGATGCTGCTTCTAGTGGATTTTTAGACAAAACCCATAGTGGAGATATGATAATGGACAAGTTGGAAAGAAAGATCACTATGCAAGATCAGGGTGAGCACTGAGCACATAAACTTTGCACACATGCACTGACAGGCTTGTGAGATGGTAGTGTGAGAAAAGCAGAGGTAGAATTTAATCCTGAGAGCGCTGAACTTGTTTTATGCTCTTTCCAGTATGGCAGACTGACTTGGCGTACCTCTTGCAGTGTTACAATCTTTTATTTTCTATACTGTGAGTGTCTGAGTCTCTCTCTTACTTTAAAGAGGCAAATAGTTATGACAGTCAGTTGCTGTAGATGTTGGTGGAGGAGGGAATGATTCCGCAGTTGTAATGGTTTGGAGCTTGGATACAAAGTTAAGGGATGTTTCAGAGACCGTGTTAAGTAGGTAGATCTTCCTTAGCAAAAGCTTTCTCCTTGCTCCCTGGAACTAACACCCTTGCCTAGGCGCCTTGATTAATGTGACTTGTGGGACTGGGCGACACAGTGGGTGTTTGTAATTTAAAAGACTTTTTCAGATGAATAGGAGAAGAAAGAAGCTGATGTCAGAAGAATATCAAACTATGGTGCATAACGTCTCAACACAGAGATGTTCCTTCTGAGCTCCAGTTCCCTGATTCACTCCACTGTAGAATCCATAGAAGGCAAACATGTAACCCTATCTCTTTCGAATACAGTGATGCACCTTATTCCCTCCTTTATCACTTGCCTCCATTGTATTTGTTTATCAAATACCCTGTCCAAGGATTAGTGTGTTATTTTTATACAAAAAGTGACATTGTGTCTGTTTAAAATTAATTTCTCGTTTTATGCAACCTTTAGGGAAATTAATACTGTGAGGCTGTCAGTGTACGTTCGCAGAGTGCAAGCAACAGCTCTGAAACAGTTAAATCCCTGTGTCTTTTTTCAGCCTCAGAAGGAGGCAGTTATCCTCTGAAATGCCTTCTGAATTTTTAAAATACTTTAGTGCCCAAAGTAAAACAGAAGAAATGGGTATTACTTCAAAGCACTGTTTTGATGTTTCTCCTTACACTTGATTGATACAGAAAGCCGTGGAGCAATCTCAGAAGCACAGTTTCAAAGAACAGACTGCCTAGGACTTAGAGAAAGATTTAGTAATGGGTTAATCTCAACAATTTAGCACCTGCTCCATCAGAAGCAAAGTCTCTACTTTTATATAATTTTTTTTTTACCCTGTAAAAAGCAGTGCTTCTTTGGAATGACTTTTTGCATCCTCCAAGCAAAGAGCTCTTCCTTTGCTCATGCAGAGAAACTTACTACAGGCTTTACAGTGCTCAGAGAAGCCCCTACTTGCTGCTGTTCATTAAAAGAATTGTAACTGCTCTTGTTCTTAACTTAACTGTTAAAAAAAGGCAACTATTCCACTGTAATGAGCACAGTATACAAAGATTGCAGGAAATATTTTCTTAAAATGAAAGGAATTACTTAGACTTTCTAAATCAGAGTTTAAAGGAATGCTGCTGTAATTTTCCTGAAAATGTTGTTTACAATCAGCATATTTAGTTACTGATTCTGAAAACTTAGAAGGAGAAATCTCTCCCTTTTGTTTTGATATTTTCTTTTGTGTAAGTGGGTCAGATGGGTTTGCTCATCACTTGCCCAGTGATGACCTTTATAGGTCTGAATCCTTCCCATGCAAACTTCTTAGCAATGCTTTCCTCAAGTCCTTAACCTCAAGCTCCTGCTGCCTTCCTCTCTTAGCATTTTGGTATCTGACTTTTTGTCAAACGTGCACTTATGGTTTAGATTTAAGTTTATGTAATTCTGTTTACAGTTATGTCTCCAAGGGCTTGTATAAATGTCTCATTCTTATTGCAAGAAACTTTATTTCCACTTGATCATTTGAGGGGAAAAACGCAAGGGAACTTTAAAAATTATAATAAAAGCTTCTGTAGATGCAGACTTAGCTTGAAGTTAGGATGTTGGGGACTCATGAACCTCTCGATATTTGAACAAGAATTGTATTCATCTTGTAGTACACAAAATCAAAATTCTGGCTAGGACAATACCAGATACGATGCTTTTCAAAATAATAAAGATATTTGATACCTCTGAAGTTAAAATCATTAATATCCTGCATGAATACCTACATTCTATACATAAGGGGTATTTTCTATACATAAGATAGCCTTCTTTAGCTTGGAGCTTCAGGAAGAGGTCTGTCTTAATTATCTAGCAGTAGTACTTCTGAAAATTCCTTTTGTTTGAATCTTCAGGCTCTGAAATAGTGAAAGCTCTCTGAGATTTTTAAAAAGTGCAACCAAATTCTCTGCTCTATTTCTTAATTAGCAGGTATCTGACGATGGGTAATTGCATTCTAGCTGAAACTTCTTTCTCAATAGGGATGTTTCAGTCAGAGACAGTATCATAAAAATGACAGTTTCTGGAAATATCCCCCACCTGAAAAACTGGATAGCCTCGAGATGCCTTTTAGTGCCTCACTCTGCAGATAGGTTTAGCTTGTGATAGGATCTGTTTAGTGGAAAATTATCTTACTACAACATATGAACTACTGTTATGTAGGAGTTGACAGTATAATCTGTTATATTATAAAATGTTTGTGTATTTTGTTTAGGTGCTTTGAAGTTTCAGTAATGAATACTTCTCATGTCGTTCCTGGTCTTGCCTGATACCTCTTCTCTGAAAGCATAGGATAATACACAGAGGGGTTGATATATGGAGTGCTGTCCTTGGAGATATTCCATTAACTCTGGGTGTTCCCAGAACAGTGGTCTGGATGTAACCCAGTACAAGTCTGCCTTTGTAGACTTCTTAGGAGTGAAAGAAATGGCTTTTTATTATGTTGAAATACTCCTATCTCATTCTAGTTAACAAGTCTGGGTCAACTGTGCTGCAGTGAGTGAGTACCTTGCTCTTGCTCTCTCTACACAGATTATGCCTGTGCACTCCAGAAGGATATCCTGCTGCAAGGGCGCTTATATCTCTCTGAAAACTGGCTCTGTTTCCACAGCAACATTTTCCGATGGGAGACCACAGTAAGATCGCTTAGCACTCTTGAATCCCACCTTTTCTTTGTCCTATGCTGTCAGGAGATTGGGGTAGAATCCCTCAAGCAAAGTTTGTCCAGTCAATCTCATACTAGTGACTTTAAGCTGTAAAGAAAGAGCCTGCATCCCTGAGTCAATATGCAGATGCATTGCTCTGTAAAATTAGAACAGCACTGGAGATATCCTAACGCTGAAGTAAGCCTACTCAGTCAATCATTCAGCATAGGAAGTTTAGGAATTATGCAAAAGCTGATCTTTTACATTCCTGGGTGACAATTTGCCTCTCCTTACCAAGGAGAGTTACCCTATAAAGGGATGTAACACATAATCTTCTCCTGTAAAATGAGAAGCATGACACAATGCATGGTGTTGCCCTATTTGAGAACTCTGCAGCATTGAACCTCATTTGATTTAGTCCCACATGTAAATATCGGCATCTAAGAACAGCAAAAGGGAATTGATAAATGATCTCTGCAAGTTCTCATATTGTGGTCTGTAGCTTTTGAACAGTATGGACAAAATTCAGTATTTGTGATATGTTGGCCCTCTATTTCTATAAAAATTAAATAAAAATTTAATGAGTTAAAATTTTTCATTCAAGTAGTTGTTGCATCTGTTGCAGAACTTTCATAAGGCAGTGAATGAGAAAGGGAAGGTAACCTGGCTAGTAGGTGAGGTTGTGTCAAAATGTTGTGTCACAGTATGGTTGTGTCAAAATGTTCTGTGAGCTGTGAGACGCTCATAGCTTAAGTTCTTCTCTTAAATTTAAGTGCTCTGAAATACACAGGACAAACAACAAATAGCTGGTATACTTAGGACAGTGAGGGTATGTAGAAATACTTAACTGAAAACCAAGCTTAATTTCATCAAATGTATTTGATAATTGAATGTTTCTTATTTGAGACTTGAAATAAATTAAAAATAAACCCTTTGAAATTACACCCTTGAACATGTAAACTCTTTTAAGACTGACTTTTCAGCCAAAACAGCATACATCCTGGTATGCTGTGGCTGCCTGTTTAGCAGAGTGGCATCTTCAGTGATAATCTTTAGGCAACCTGAGCTCATCAGCTACAGTGGTTGAGTCTAGTTTGGGGACCTCCTTAGCAGGTTGTGTTGATGAAGAGAGAGAACAAGTGGAGGACCTCCTGCACACAGGGGAAAAAGCAAATCCAGACGTAGGTTCTTCCTTTTCCCAAGCTGAAAGGCAGCACAGCCTTACCTTCAAGGGAAGAGGGTAGGCTGAATGGAAATGCCTTGTTGCAGCCAGTCAGACCATGCTCTTCTAAATTTCAAGTACTAATATACAAGGCAAGCACATCTAAGCAGGAAGATTTTCTTACAGTGTCTGCACTGCAAATAAACCTCTGAAAATGGGATATATTGCACAATTATGCGAGATGACATAGACAAGAGAGATCAGATAATAGACTGTCCTGCTTTATTCTAGCATGCTGATTGAGATTGGCTTTCACATCTGTGGTTTTTATTTGGTTGGGATTGTGAAGTATGGCTGGAGGAGTGGAGAGAAAGAAGAAAGAACCACTTGCTTCTCTAGTCCTAGTATGAAAGGAGATTATTCTTAAGTCACCTTAGCTTCTACTTTGGAATACTTGCTGTTAAGCTTAGCAAGTGAAGACAGTAATTGCCTTTGTGATCTCAAATAAATTGCATCCCAGGGTTTAAGGTTAGTTAACTTTCCTCTTGCATGTTCTTTAACTTCAAATTTTTAGCCTTACCAATTATTTTTTATATGTCTTATTAAATCTGCTTCTGCTTAGATTTCTATTGCCTTGAAGGATATCACTTTCATGACAAAGGAGAAGACTGCTCGGCTCATTCCAAATGCCATACAAATAGCAACAAAAGGAGAGAAGGTGAAAAGTTGTTTTAAAATATATTCTTGTTAAATGATAATGTCTAGGACAGAGCACTTGTTCCAGTTTATATTTGCATAAGTAACTTCCCTGTCAAAGTTTAAGTGTGATTGGGGCTGACTTGGTGATTTGGTCCCTGTGCATATTGGCTTAGTAATTCAACTTTAGTTTGATTGCAGAATCCCTTCATAGTGTTGATGCAGTAACCAGGAAGGAAGAGGCTTTGTCTCACTGACTGAAAGGAAAGCCATTTGAAAACTATAAGTTCAGGGCATAAATTCAGAATGTCCATTCTTGATATCAGAAAAATATCGAAGTCACTGGATTTAAAGTGCCCCCAAAAGAAAACTGCTGAAAATAAAAGGACTGTGGTGTCATGGGTTTTGAGTTATGGAGAAATTTACCCTAGAACATGCAGTTATATGTGCTGGGAAATGAAGTTTGTGAGTGTGTATTTGAAAAACCGAAAAGCACGATGCAGAATTTTCTTATGTGCAACATAGATCTTCTGTAAATGCCTTGAAAATAATAATTCTTGGGTGGATACAGAGAATAGCTTTCCACAGTTAATGTGGAGCTGTTCTTTGTGAAGGAACTGTGATTCTGCATATTTGGCCGTTCCCTCTCAATTTATCCAATATTAACTTTCACCAACAAGGAAGACAGACTTCTTTACTAAAAAATAACTTTCAAATGGGAAAGATTTTAATACTGCAAATGATGCATCTAATTTGATCTCATATTTTAATTATTTTTATTTCACATCATCTCATGTGAAAATGTTAGTAAAAGGAATATGTGGCAAAAGGATGGAAAGAGCTGTGGCCTGTAAGAAACAGGCATATTAATGAATCTCTGATTTGCTTCACCTCCTATGTGGAAGTGGGAAACAGATTTAAGTGTGTAATTAGTTGAGAAAGAGCTCTTCCTTCATGCCAAGGGTAGTCAGATGCCCAGAAGAGCAAGTGTCTTTATATACTGTGTGGGCATTGGGGATCTGATTCTTACTTACTGAAAGTGATAAAAAGTGTGGAGTGTAAGGAATACACCCCAGATTTCCTGAATGTGAAAAGTGGCATGCTGTTGCTGAAAACCTATTACGATATTCAAGATACAAGGAAGCATTCTGGCATTCTTGAAAGTACCTACAAATGAGCTTTTTTTTTTTTTTTCACCTTGTTTTTCCTGCAGTTTTTCTTCACATCATTCAGTGCAAGAGACAGAAGCTACCTCAGTATCTTCCGTTTGTGGCAGAATGTGCTGCTGGATAAGGTGAGTTTGTACCTGTCAGTAACTTTTTCTAATGTGGGCAGATGTGTCTTTGGAGGATAAGAGACTTGAAGTTAGCTTTTCCGTTCTGACTCAGAATTCTAATCTGATGTTCTCCTTTTTTTCCCTATACTTTACATCCCAGATAAAATTCTCATCCTTTCCTTCCCATACTGCCACTTAAACTCTGCTGTTGATGGAGTGTATAGGTTGCATGCTTCTCTTCACTACCAGCTCAAGCATATGTTACTAAATTACTATGCACTTACTTTACATTTTCTATGATTAATTTGTAATCCAAAAGCAAGAGGCTTTCTCAGTGAAAACTTTTAAAGAGAAGGGCCTAAAATCTCCTTCTCAATTAAGTCAGCTGAACCTTTGCCATCCTTTTCATTACAACTCCCCTGACCTTGAATGAATGCAACAAAGGCAGGCTGTATGATACGAAAGTGTATTTTGGCAACCTATGCGGGTCAATTTGATTTATATTGCAATTTGTGGATACTTAAGCTAATCTTCTTTCTAAAAATGGACTGACACTTTTGCAGAATGTCACTGTAAGAAAGATAATTTTTGTGAACCAATTTCTTCCTGTTTATGGCTCTCATTGTTTAGATATTTTAACACAGTTGCATTTGCACACTGAAATATCCACATATAACTGTGCTACAATGGCTCCCAAAGGCTTAAAGCTGTTGGACTACTTTTAGGTTGTAGCTACCTTTTTTTTTTTTTTTTTTTTTTAGGTTAATTTTAGGGCAGACTAAAGACACTTTCAGTCAAACAAAAACTGAAAATAATAAGGAAGTGCGATTTAAGGCAAAGCTAATGTTTCCTGCTACTCTCTTTTCCCTCAAATAAAATATTATTTAACTGTAACATCATAACCATCTTGTCTTGAATCCAGCCACAATGTACTGTGTCATATTTTAACTGGAATGTGCAGCTGGAAGTAACCCTGCTTTCTTCTATTATGCAGTTTCAGGAATAGCAATTACCTTATTTGGTTGATTAGTTTGTCATGCTGGAGGGTGAATGTATGGACATTCAGGTGCACAAATCTACCCAAGGGGCTGGAACAGATGAACAAGCTTTGTGCTGTTCAGTATTAGTTTTCCTTGTGTGTTTCCACTCTGTGACACTGAAATGAGTGTCACATAAGGAATGACTTTTCACTTCAGAGCACTAACTGAAGGATAGATAAGAAAGCAGGAGGCATGGACTGCATGTAAGATGAGATGTATTAAGTCAGCAGTTTTTAGGCATCGGTGCATTTGAGTAGCTTGGGAACTATCCTTATTCCTTCTATCAAATCTTGCTGTTAGCTTGCTTGCATCCTCACTGAAGTATGTTAAAAGGTAAGTCTGTTGTGAGGTTTTCTGCATGGGGGTTCTTGGTTGTGATATGGAACATTGCCATGAGGTAGATGAAGGGCTTTTTAATGGAGTATGTTTGGAACTAGTTACTGAAGCAGGATTTCTGTTAGGTTGAGCTCCTACTTCTGCAATGTAGTAATGACTTCTGATTCTTTGCTAGAATGTGTTTGAGTCACCTGTCAGCCTACTTTAAGATTCTTTACTAGATCGAGCTATAGGAGGGCACTGTGGAGTTGAAAGTAGAAACTGAAGTTGCTAGAGCTGGATCCACTGATTCCACTACAGTGACAGCTGTCTACTGAACGGCTGCCCTTGGTACATCCAAGCAGTTTTACTGCTTTCTCCTCACCACCCCATGGCAGGGACAACATACATTTGAAAAATGTCTCATGCGTCTGAGGCCCTGGCATGTTAAATTGTGAAATAAAGTAATTCTGTTGTAATCAGAAGTATAACTCTGTAGCTGTCACAGTGCTGGTTTGCGCCACCTGATGGTGAATAATCCCCAATTTCCAGGATTTGGATCCAGGGGACTGGAATTGTATTTGCTTCAAATCATGTCTATGCTGAGGTAATTTTCAGTCACTGGCCTCTTCAAGACTTCCTGGGCATAGATTTCCTGTTATGAGGTCTCACCTCTGAAGAGTGACCTGTCTGCTTTACCTGATACACCTGAAGCTTTCACCACCTGCAGAACTTCTCAGTGGGGTCAGCATGCCCTTTCCCAGATCTCCATCTTGTGGCCGTTCTGCCTTGTACCTCTTTAAGTATTGCATGTCCTAGGTGGTTGAACAAGTAGTCCTTTGTTAAGTCTGCCTTTCTTCTAGAAGTAGCTTGCACTGTGCAAGAAAAACATCAAACGTGCTATTCTGTGCCTAAACTTATCCATCCAGATGCTCTTCCCCAACTTTGCATCACTGTTCTGACAGGACTCCTAGTCCTCTATCTGAGTCGTAATTCTCTAGCTCATAACTTCTCCTTTACACCTTGCTCAGAATACAGTACTGTGCATCTTGTGCCTTTATGGGAATCAGTGGGTACCTTCCTCTTAAGATGGTTCTTTCTTAGGCTTTTTATGCTTTAAATATTCATGTAAAGATTTTTTTTTTCTTTCAAGCCAAATTCTACCTTTTGTTGTTGGGTTTTTTTTTTCTCCATCCCTATTTCAAAATGTGTGCAGAGTGAGTCTCTTAGGCTTTTACCTTGCCATTGTTTTTTAAATGATCCAGCATCATGGAAAATAAGGAATCATTAATGCAGGTCTGGAAGAGACATGACACCAGTGTTGATAAAACAGATAGCTGCTTCCATATCCACTGCAGCTTTCAATAATACATCGGTTTATAAAATCAGCTGAAAATCCTGTTTTGCAATAGGCTTTCCAGATTGGTAAAACAAGTTTACTATGGCTGCTATTGACAGTTAGAGCAATGCCATTTATACCTTTGCTTTATTTTCCTAAAGCTTGTGGGTGTCAAATATCCCTCCAGTTTAAGGGAGAAGGAACAAATTAAAATATAATTAGACAGGTCATTCAAATCCCAAACAAACACAGCACTCCTTATTTCTAATGGAACAAGATCTTAACTTAATCGGTCTCAATTCCCATGAGTCCTCTTCCTTAGAGTTGGATTTACTTTCCTATTGTTCTTTGTATGCTATGCTGGGTAGAGATTTGCACCTGTCTCCAGAGACATTGTAGCAGGTAAGTCTAGAGGTGTGAGAAGGGACCAGAATTTCTGATCAATTGGGCTTCTTGTGGCAGACATCTTCCAGGACAACACTTCTGCCTTCTTCAGCAGCTTCTCAGGGAACGTTGAGAAAAGAGAGGTTTATTTGCACCTTTGTGTGCAACAGGGGTTATTTTAGAGATCAAAGAGGGCTTGGTTTGATTCTGACCTTCATGTTTGGGCAGTTAAAGAGCAAGCTTGCTGTTTTCCTCCCCTGTTCTGCAAACAAGCAGTCAGACAGTTCTGTAGCAGAGTCACCTGGCAGGAGTGTGGTGTATGGTGGGCTGTCTCTTGAGACAGTCTGTATGGCATGTCTTGTTCTTATTTCTGCATTTGTCGATAGGGGGTAAAAATCAGCAGCTTTGCTTCTGTCAGTGGTATTCTGTAGTATTGCTTGTGCCATGACACTGCTTTGTTGAGTGTGAAGCAAGGTATTGATGTTTTATGCTGCAGCTGAAAAGACAAAATTGTATTGCAGCTGCTTCTTGTAGCCTTTGTGTTTGTACACAAAGAGAACTGAGGAAGAACCCTGCATAGACCATCACCTTGAATGGGTAATTCATGTTTAGATTCAGCCTTTCAAGCTTCAGAGCTTCTCTAAACCATCCTTTCAGAAGCAGAAGTCTGACCCAGAAAATTTATGCCCTTCTTTGCTTTCAGAACTGATCCTTTCTGATAAAATAAAGCAAGTCTGGTTTGATCTTGGGTTGTGACCATTAAGAACTTATTATATCTGCTGAGCTAGGAATAATTGGGCAGAGCACAAGAATCCTGTTTTAGAAGCAGAAGTTGGTAGCATTGACTTTACAAAACCACAGGAAACAGCTTTATAGATTCCTAAAATGCATAGCTGAAAAGCTTCTCTGCTTTCCTCAAACTATTGAGCTCACTGTTCAAGGGCAGTCTGATTTGCCCATAGAGTGCTGCGGAACATGCCAGTGAATTTAATTGATGACATTAACTATTTCCTAGTTATTTCCTTATGACTGGAAATAAAAACACTGGCAGTATTGGGCTATGGAAGTGGAAGCTTTTCCCCCTGTCCTTTGATTTCTGGTTGAAAGGTGCGTGCTGTCTAGAGATACCTCAGTCATATTCTGAAATTTTTTTGTAATATATTTGAAATATTTTTGTAATGCTTGCACCTGTTCTTGACCACTTAATGAAAGCAACTGTAGGTAGTTGTTTATGGTTATGAATTTATTGCTCTAAAAGACAACATGCCTGCTGAAAGTAAGGCAGCTGTATGTTGATGCACGTGTTTTTAGCAGAGCATTGCTCTGTAGAGCAAACCCCCGTGGCGGAAGGAGGCTGGCAGTAGCCGCTATGACCCTTGCTTTACGGCTGTGTGTTTTGTGTTTTAATGTTTACTTTGCCCTCGGTAGGATTAAATACCTTGAAACTGATCTCTGCCAATAGCGTGCTTGTGCCAGCTGCTTTCTGAAAAGCCTGAAACCCTGTTGTGCTGGAAAACACACGAGGGAAAATCCCCTCCTGATCTCCCGAACCGGGCTTGCCCCGGTCCTCGCACGCTTCGCTGAGGTTCGGCGGGAGATGCGATGCAGCGCGGGGGTCCCGCAGCGGGGGCGCGGGGGCGGCGGGACCGCGATGGAGCTCCGGGTCCCGCCCCGGGCCGGCGGGAGCAGCCGGGGAAGGCGCTGCCCCGGCCCCGCTCCGGGAGCGGGGGCGGCCCCGGTGCCGCCGCCCAGCAGGAAGTGGGAGCGCGGCGGCTCCCGGCGGGAGCGGGGCTGTGCCGGCAGCGGCGCTGCCCAAGGGAAGCGCCAGGTTGGTGTCGGTGCGGGACACGGCGGGGGGAAGAGCCGCGGGGCCGCGCATTTACATTCCTGCCCGGGGGTCAGCTCCTTCGTGTCTGTCTAAAATTGCAGGTAGTGTAACACTCTACAGGTGAAGCAAGGAGGTGGAGAGGATCATTTAAAAGCCCTTTAAATAATGCATGGATATTTAATGTCATCATTTCATGCAAATAGTAAGCAGTACTTGTGTTACTGCCTCATTAGCACAGTCCTGTTCCCTTGATCAATATGGATTGTGGCCGAGGCACACTTTCCAGTGTGGTGTCTCTGTTTTTTAAGATTGCTAGTATTGCTCTCTGAGCTCTGCTAAATACCAGAACCTTATTTCCTTTCTTTCTTTCTCTCTCTCTTTTTTTTTTCCCTTCTTCTCCCTATACCCTTTTACAGCTGAGGTGGACTTTGAAACTTGTTGCTTACTTTGCAGAAATGAATGTGTCATACTGCTTTCACTTCCAAACTTTGGATCTAAAAGAACTGTTCCAGTAGCTATGGGAATTCATGGAGCAGGGCAGAGATACTGTAGAGAAAGAGAAGATAGCTAGTAGTGAGTCAAGGTCATCCTGAACAAAATCAACTGTTTTTCATAAAGAGGCTGCTGGTGGTCCCAAGTGAGGACCTCCTGTCCCACCTTGGCAAAGTGGGCAGTTGGCTGACGTGGACACCACTGTAATGACTGAAACAGAAGCCTCTCACAATTTGTAAAGTACTCTGAACATCCTCAGGAAACAGGCAGGTTAAGTTAAGGTCTGTTAACAGGCAGGTCTGTTAAGCAGTTTGTCTGGGATCAAAGAGGGAGTCCTTGACTGTCTAGTAGTTACTAATCTTGTGCTGTACCAAGTGAAATTCAAGAGGGGAGGTACCTTGAAGGTGTCTGTGAAATTGTTGGTGACACACAAAGAAGCAAGTAGTGGCTACAAGTGTTGTGTTTTCTTCAAATGACAGTCTTATGTCTGATTGAACAGTGGTCGGTTGGGAATATGGAGTAGACAGGAGTACAGTTGCCCAAAATGCTGAAATCCAATCTTGGAATGTGATACCTAAATGCTTTCAGTCCTTTTCAGAATTGAGGTTAAAGGCTGTGGCGTAATTCAGACTTGTTGCTTTTTTACCTCCAGTCCCATACTGTGGTTCTTGACTAGCTCGCTTTCTTTCAGAGGCTAACCAAGCAGGAATTCTGGCAGCTGGTACACCAGAGCTATGGCTCTGAGCTGGGTCTGAACAGTGAGGAGATGGAGAGCTTCCACTCATCGTCTGAGGACAACGGGCAGTCTCGGTAAGGAGAGGCTATAAAGCCTATTGAAACACTTGGGGAGAAGCACTGTCCTCTTTCGTAGAAGATCTTTTGCCAAAGTACTGCTGTAGCCTTACCAGAAAGGTTGAACCTGTAGTAAAAGGAGGCAAAAATCTGACCTGCATAGACTGAGCATGCATAAAAACTTAACTGTGTTCGTCTTCTAAAATACTGAGAGCGCAGCGGAGGCCCCATAAGGAGGGAGGTAGGAAGACCTTGTTCTCTCTGGATCTGCTTGGGCAGATAGCAGCATAGGACAGCTGAAATACCAACTTTTTTCATAGTGGTGTCTAGTCAGGACCTCTTTACCATTGTGCAATATGGAAAGGCTGAATGAAATGGAGCTATATGATTTTCAGATACTTTTTTCCCTCCTCTATTGAGACTGAAACACTTGTTTTGCTTTGCTCTCCTGATGTCTGTGGTCTTAGCTGAATATTGTATTGTCCTTAGCTTGAATTAGGAAACTGGAATAATAGTAAATATAATGAGATGGAATAATTGTAGTAACAATGTGGATTTTTAAAGACTTGTCTTCATATTTTTAAATATGAATTAAAATATGAATTAAGTTATGAACCGCCAGTGTCAATTAATAACAGCACTTTATGCAAATAAGTATGATTCTACAAAACTGATCAATGTAACTTGTCTCTTTTCAATTCTGCGTTATCTGAGTATGTTTGTTTAGAAAAATTTATGTTCATTGCAAGCTTTAAAAGATGTCCTATTGAATATTTTCTGGTTGTTTTTCTTGGTTTGTTTGTTTGTTGGCTGTAAAAAAAGGCACAACTCTGCAGCTCTGGGATAAGGGATGCAGTAAAAAAACTATTTTATCACACTTGGTTAAAACATTTTTCTTTCCAAATTTGTTCTAAGCTCTCTCTGTTTCATCTTTCTGTGCAGCACTCACTTTCTCTGTGATTCGCCAGTGCCTGGTTTTATTAACTTTATGATCAGAAGCTGAATCTTCTGAGAGGTAGCTAGGATGAGGAAAATGGTTTGAGAGATTAATGAGCTGTATGTAGGGAGAAAGGAGTTGGTAGTTTGTAATGTTAGCTTAACAGCCATGGTTTGAATGCAAAAATCACGCATAAGCTTTCTCAGATTTTTCAGCACTTATATCTCCAAAGATTCTTTCCTTTTTGCTTTGGACAGATCCAGCATTTGTGATGATTCTGGAGAAAGGGATGAAAAACTACCTAAAATGATCAGTTTAGTTCGTGAACCCACACTTCAAGCAGAAGGAGAGTCACTCAACACACACACGTTGCCAGGAGTAAGTGCTGACACAGCTTTTCCTGTTATTTGTAACTGATAGGCATATATGCTTGTGTATCTGTAAGCATAGGAGGCATGGGGATTGTAACTTTAGAAGCCTTTGAGAATTCAAGAATGTTTCTTTAATTTGAAAATGAACAAAATTCTGTATAAGAGAACATTGTTGGTGTGAGTTTCAGCATTGTCCTGTCACTAATTCACTCCATAACCTGGCTGGAACACTGAAGCTTATACCCTGGTCTGTTTTTTCTGTTTCCTTTAAAAAGAAAATTACCTGGATTTTTTTATCTACCTCCCTAGGGACCATATGTGTTCTTATCCAAGTGCTTTATGAAAGTAACACCTTTTTCTCTTCCAGTACTTTCTTACTTGTGGTGTTTGTCATTTAAAAAGATATCTCTCCTGTACATAAGGTTTATTAGAGGGGAAGAAGGTTTTTTTCCTTGCCTTCAAAGGTCAGTTAGTCTGCTGTTGTGAACATGTGACACCTATTTTATTGAAATTTGTGGAAATGTTTTAGAAGAAAGGGGGAAAGCCCCGCACTTGCTATTATAAAGATGAGTTTTACTGTAAGTCCTTGGGTTAGTAGAACAGAAGAAGCATGAATGTTTCACTCATGTTGTATGAATTTGTGAATGTATTTGGCTGTTTGGAATGGCAGGTGCATTAGTAGCAGTATCTGAGAGGGGTACAGTGTCCAGCGTAGTTACAGGGACTCCTGTGTGTAGTTGTTGTCCTAAAAGGTTACAGACGTTTTCTCTTGGTTATTAGATATCCAAAAGATCTTTAAACAGCAAATGAATCACTAAAGCATTATTTTTTTATAAGCTTCGCTAAGGTTGGGTACTGAATTGCTGGTTTTGCTTTGGGAAATTTGGGGAAGGAAGAAGGGAGATGATTTTAATGGTTTTTACTGCCATATAAATCTGGCTTTTATCACTCGCTAAAACTGATCTGGAGGTTAAGTAGGCTTTAAATAGTTTTGCCACAATCCAAGTTAATGGCTAGAGACTCATATCCAGCAAACAATACTGATGTTTGTCAAATGTTAAAAGCTTAGTTAATTGCATGATGGGTATCCTTCACTGAAATCTTGGCAATATAGGACATTTTTGGAAGTAGGGGAAGCCTGAGAGGACTGTGGATGCTGCTGGAATTTTTGATTTTTAGCATAACTAAAAATCTACACAGGTAGCCTTGGTTTAGACTTGTAAGTCTTATTTGCACGAGAACAAGCCATTTAAAAATAATTGCTACGTTTGGAAAAGAAGCCACACCCAGAAATGTCTCCTGTGAGTGCTAAATCTGATTGGGCTGCTTGGTAAGGAGGAATGCCTGGGGATTTGGTCTGTAAGCAAGGAAAAATGGCCAGGATTCTCCCTTGAATAAACTGCCTTTAAAAAGTCTTTTAATTATAATGTAAAAGTGCAATCTTGATAAATGTGTAACTAAACTCTTTAGTTTACTGTTTCAGGGTAACTAAAACGCCTAATGATTGTGTTCAGCTCTATGTGTCACTTGGCATTTCTCAAGAATGTCAACACTGTCTCCACAGCACCAGGATTACAGCATATTTTGTAGAACCACAAGAGCAATAGGAGGAGGCAGTAGCGCTTAGAATGTATTTATCAAAAACCATTGCAATGATGACACAAAGCACAGTTAATCACCTTCCAAAGACTGGAGGGAAATAGGCTTAACCTCCCCTTTACTGCTCTGATAGACAAAGCAAGTCCCAAAGCCCTCTTCAGTGGAAAATCTGAGTTCTCTGTACTACTTGGCCCGTCTTGGAAAAAATGTTGTTAATGGCTGTCTATAGTTGATTGAAGAAACTCTGTATGGAACATCAGTCATGGCTCATCTGCTTCTCCTAGTACATCTTAATGTGGGCACCACCTTATTGCCTGTGTTTACAACCATCGTCTTCCCTCTGCCCCTTGTAGGGAGACCTTCTAGTCCCAGAGCTTGCTGTTCACAGGCTAAAAACCAGAAAAGCCTTAGCACAGATTTTAGCAGTACTGGACTAGCTCAAGAGATAAATGTACATAGGGAAGAAATTACACATCTTTAATTCCAGAGACAGATCTAAAAATCATTACTCTTTACTGTAAAGAAACCCCCACCAAACCAACCCAATACCCTAACATCCAAAACCCTAAGAAAATAGTGTTTAAGGTAATCAGTAATTCCAAAAGCCTCAGCATGAATGTCCTCTTCTTTGACATCATGAAAGGCTTTTTTGTTGGAGCTATTGCTTGTCTTCTGACTTGAGCCTGACTTCCCTGCTCTGCTCATAGCATAGTAGGCTGCTCTTATGCTGCTAGTGGGAGCTCCACTTGTTCACCAGATCCCTAATTGACATAAAAGTGCTATGAGAGTTCCTTGGATTTGTGCTGAATCTGTTGTCAAGTTTTAGACTCTTCTATCACCACTAGCTCCTTTTTGACTTTCATCTATATTGATAAAGTATTTTGACATAAAAATATTAGTTCTGTCCTAGATTCTGTTGTTTGACTGAGTATAACTACAGGCATGGTAGCTCCTTTCAATAGCAGCATTTGTTAATTGATCTGCTTTTCTGATTCAGTTTTCCTTTTTTTTTCTTTTCTTTGATTTTAACCTTGAAAGAAGTATTTTTGTCTGCTTATACTGCAGTCAGATTCATGCCTGTTTTCCACCCACCCACCTTTTGCTAATGGCCTTTAGTTGCACAAAAAAAAGTAAATGGTTTTTATTTTGAAAAAAGCCAAGAAATATGGGAAGTACATGATGACTGTTCAAACAACGGATGCTTTTCCCTTCTTGAGTCAGTGCTGAATAATTTTTAGGGGATAATGGTATTGCAGACAAATCAGAACTACTCAGTTGAGGAGGCCTGATCATGTTCACTGTGGTCCCAGTATTGCTGCATGTGGAGGCTGTACTGTTGTTGATCCCAGGTGTTCCACAGGGGCTTTGTGGGGAGCTTTAGAATTAAAACTATGATTCAAAGCTGGTAGATTAGCTTTTTGGTTGGCATTCATTTTGAGATACAAGAAGTAAATCTGCAATCAAATTGTATGGACAAGGTTTGTGTAAGTGTGCAATGGCACGTCTGCGTAGCCAACAGTTATTACAGCTTAGGGTAAAGAGCTGCATCGTGGATTCAGTGACTGATATTCTGGGGGATTTGGAGATGGCAAATGATACTCCATTGCTCTATTTCTGAGCAGTAACATTTTATAGGTAGGATGGCTCTAGACAGTATTTTAAAAGATTTTGGGTTTTTTGGTTTTGGTTTTGTTGGTTTTTTTTTTGTCGAAGGGTAAAGGAGTCCTGTGAAATAAGAACCTTTCAAAGATGTAATTGGGATAATCTAATCTTACTGAAAGCGGAAGGCACTGCCTGTGTTTCATTGTGCTTCCCCTCCAGAGTGTTGGACCCTTGTTAAACTGGCAGGAAAAAAAAAAGAAATTTATCAATACAAAGTAAATCTGTGTTAGGTTAATGAATTTATATTATATATAATATATAATTTATATTTGTGTTGATATAGGGAAGGGGACCAAACTGTGCAGGTGGGTGCCAGGGGACTGGATGGGGTGAAAACTGTCCCTTTTTAGGCACCTCATACAAGGTGCCTAAACCAGCAGCGCATACAAGTAAGACTGTTCCTTTTTACCAGGATTTAGTGAAAGATTTAAATAAAGAGGAAGGGAGGTTGCCTGGGGTAGAGGAACAGGGGAGAAATTAGTGCTTAACTGTGCTGTGATCAAGTAGATAGAACTTGTGGCTTCCTTTGTATGGCTGTCTTCTTTGAAAGTAACTTTCTTTTTGGGTTTTGGTATGGGCTTTTTTTTTTTTTTTTTTTTTAATGGTCTGTGGTTACTGATTTTTTTTTTTTTGTCCTCTGTGTGTTTTCAGGTGGAGGACTCCCCAGCTGAGAAGCAAATAAAGAGCCCTCTTCCATCTTCAGAAAGAAAACCTGTTAAGCTAGTCAGGAGCAGGTCTTTAGAAAAGTCCTTGGACCTTAATGAGAATGAAAATCTTCCAGAGAAAAGCAGTGCCTCAGATAGTGAAGAAGGTAAATCTTATAACAATTGGGATCTGTAAGACAACCTGACTTTAGTTTTCCATCTCACTTGTGGAGCAAGTTAGAGAACTTTCTGACCTTATGAAACTTGTTTGCTTATTTGTTTCACAGAATTGCAGCAAAAACATCTTTGTATCTTAGTGTTTGGGGAGAAAAAAATGTTACTGGGTGTTTAGAATGAAAACAAACTGTGGTTTTGATTTTTCTCTCTTGGTGGATAGAGAGTTGCTAACAGCTTAAACTAAAAAGTATTTATTGACAATGAAGTGGTATTAGTTTACTTTTTATGTTCTCATGGATATTTAAAAGATTTTTGTTTTGTTTTGTTTGCACTTCTTGGAAACTGAGGGAAAACATTTCAGGCATAACAGTTCTTAAGTTTCTGAAAATCTCCCCCATCCCTCTTCTTTACACTTATGCTTTCTGAAGGCTTATGGGCTTCAGTGTTACTGATGGAGTAAACTGAGGAACTCACTGAAAGTCCAAGCAAGACAACGTCCCAGCTTTCAGGGGAATATGTGCATGTTCTGAATGGGATCTGAAGATGAAAACTTAATGAAAACCTTAATGAATATCTTGGAGCAGATTACACTTTCTGTACCAACAATTAGTATCTTAATGGATCCTAATATACCATCCTCAGAACTCATACCTCATTACCCAGTACAAGATGAGAAGAAACTTGGATACCACAGTAGTACAGAGACTGTAACTTGACTGTTACGTGTTTCTTTTGATCTTCTCACCATAGGAGTGAAACTGTAGTAGTATCTCGCATAATAGTTTTGGGAAAAGAATTTTTGCTATGTCCTTGGGAGAGAGGCTGGAGCATGGTTTCTACCTGGGCTGCGTGATAGTGAGACTTGTGCTGAGGTCCCACAGTAGCCCCTTGCAAGTTCTCACTTTCTAAGGAGAGCTTTTCACTTACTATGGGGAACTTTTCTGTGCCACAGGGCTCTGGTTGTTCAAGCAGATCACTGAAGTTGTGGTGGATGTTCTGTTAAATACCTGAATCTCGGACTCTGTAAATGCCTTTAAAGCAAAGTGTGTAAAACCTGTACTGGTTCCAAGGTTATGTGGTGGTGTGCAAATGAAATACGGAAAAGCTCAACAGTAGCAGTGTGCTCAGTAGAAGCTGAATATTTCTTTTGTATGTGAAGAGAACTTAATTTCATCACTTGTTGGCAGGAATAGAACAGTTCAATTAATTGAGGATGATTCTTAATTTCTGAGAAATTTTGTATCTTATCCTTTCAGAGTTGACAACTGAAGTTGTTTGCAGGGGTCTTTATGTTGGGATCATTGAGGAGTCCAGGAAAGGTTTCGAAGTTATGGGTTGAATTGGCTGCCTGCAAATAATGATTTTTGCCTGGGGATATACTTTATATTCAGCTAATTTTCCTTTGCTCACCATACTCCTTCTGTTTGCTTGAGTTCAGATTCAACTTGATGCTTGTCAGGTTTTATCATTTTTGTGAATATACCTAATTGAACAGGATGCTGTTTATGCCATACTCCTACACACTTAACAAGCTTCACAAATTAATTTACTCCTTCACAGGTGTATCTTTGAGAGCAGCAGAAAGTTTTGGCCTTTGGATGTTTTAGATATCTTGCAGTTTTCCTGTCTTCTTAGTACCGCATCTCTCTTCTGTCTCTGGATTTTATTTTTTATGGGAAAGGTCTCCAGTGGAACTGACTGAAAAACAGTCCTGTTGTCTTTCATGCTGCTAGCTGCCTGAATGATAACAGTACTGATACTCCCTGTCATCCCTGCATTAGTGATGTTGAATAAATAGAACATATTAAAGTGGAGATGTCTCTTTAATAAAAAGACAACTGACTTCATGCTGCTTTTCTCCCTCCCCCAAGACTAGTCTTTTATTCAGAGCAGGATTTTCTAGACTCACAACATTAATCTTTTCTCTCAGGTTCTTCATGCTTAGAATTTTTTTCTTCTGTTTCTGTCTGTTTTCTGTTGCAGTTGCCCCATACCCTTACAAGGTGAATTCCTTCACGCAAACGAAACTAGCTTTCCTACATGGCAAAGGTTTACCCATGCGATTAATTTCTCTTGTGTCCTCTGGTTCATACTCAGGCTGCCCATGGAGGTGTCCTGGCAAATAAGGTGAGGGGCAAGCTCAAGACTCTTGTTCTTCCCAACACTAGCTCCCTTGTCCTAAGCAGTTCTCACACTCGTTACTTGGGAGAAGTGGGGTGTGCATCCCGCTAGGCACCACTGGCCTATGGACCTGCATCTTGGTGCTTTTGTCTGGTTTCATAAATTGGAGTATAAATTCTTGAGCCATGACAAACTTTTGGCTAAGCTAAAAATTAGTATCTGTGGTCTTAATTGTACATGTTAGTAAACAAATTTTAGTTCAAGCATGGAATACGTGTTTCCGAAACAGGGCTGAGATTTTTTTAAATTTTCTCTAATGACTCTTTTGTACGCAAGGTGGGTATTTTTGGTTTTTTTCCCTTTCTTTCATTGGCAATGTTCAGCTGCATGAAATATTTTCCCTTTCTTTCATTGGCAATGTTCAGCTGCATGAAATACTTCAAAGAAAAAAGGGAAAGCAGGAAATTGGAAAACAATGTTTTATGTTGGAAAACTTCATATAGGGGCATAATAAATTTCTGATCTCCTTGCATAACTTGACAGACTTACTGTGTTTTTTCTATTTGTACTAATAACCACCTTAAATGTGTGGTCTGCAGGAGAGTGTAACTGCCTGCATTGTGGTGCTGTGAGATGGGTACAGCAGTGGCATGACCTTTCTTGCAGACAGGGATATATGGGGCATAGTATTTGAAATACAGGATGGTTGAAATTGATTCAGCCTTGCGTTGGTTTCCCCCCACCTCAAGATATGAAATTTTGGATACACAGTGCATGTAAGGAAGAGTAGCCCTGTTATCTTGTTGGCATTTTAATCAAAATACTGAAAGGACATATTTTTTGAATATGTGTCTATATCTATCTATCTGTCTACCCAGCTGGTTTGGGGATTATATGTTTGAGTTGCGTAAAGGCAAAAGGCATAAGATTGGGGTTTTCTTATCTTGTGAACTGGAAAAAGCTAGCACTGAGACAGTTCTTACTCAGTACCTCCCCAAGTTAATTTTGTACTTAGTCTTTTTAAGTATAGGAGAGTTCTCTGAAAATGGTTAATTCTGCTGATACAGTCTTTAAATAGATGATGTCTGGAACATGTTCACTTCTAGCAATTGCATTTATTAACTTGATTTCAGGTGTATCTGCTTAAAGGCTCCTTCCTGTATATGTTCTTCATGCAGTGTGCATTTTTTTCCCTCCATCCCCAGTGGTACAGAAATGCTGAACAGTGCCAAGATTTGCATACTTTTTTTTTTTTTTTTTTAACCCTGATCCTCCCCTAACTCTGTGGAGTGGAGAAGTCAGTCTTCTTATTAATTTGTTTGGTAGCCTCTGCTCTTAGCAGTTCACCTTTCTTAACTTGCTTGTGATGTGTGTTTAGCTTTCAGCAGTTAGTTGTTGATGACCACTTCCCCCGCACCACCGTTTTCTGTCTCTCTTCTTGTACTGCAGATGTTTTTAAACCTCTGCAATCACTGCTGTATAATGGTATTATATTCAAACATTATTTCATAGCTTGCCTTGCAGTGATGAAAATGACCTTATAAAGTGCAAGGCAATAGAGGGGGAGGGAACAGACTTGCTATCTTCAGGCTGAACCAGGACACTCTGGGTAATATATTTACTTCTGGATTTTTGGGTCCCTATGGATTCTTACCTAAAGTCAGAATAACCTCATGTTCTTTTATCAGACAGCTCCAATTCAGCTATAAATGTATTCAGGCTAAGAGAGTTAGTGTTGATAATTGCATGCTGCTGAGGGGTTAGAACAGCATTAAGAGGGAAGGAGTTAGACTGATATCTCTATACCTGTACAAAGTATTTTGTTCATAAAAAATATTTGTAAGCCAGTCTTAGGTCAAATGCATGATGTTACTCTAGTATAGAGATAAATAAAGGCAGATACAAATTTACCTGTGTGAGTATAAACAAACAAAACAGTAGACAAACGTGCTTCTTTATTTGTAGCAGAGGTAAGTGGTTAAAGCTGTCTATTTGAATTGCAAGCATATAAATTGTACATTTATTCTTGGCTATGCTACTGGCTGTGCTTGCTGCTTTGTCTAGGATTTCTACAGATAAATTTTGAGAAACCTGAGTGAAAGTGGAACTCAGAGCAGTATTTATACATACGTGCACCTTCCAGACCCATCATATAAAAGATTTCCAGGCTTTCTGGAGAGCAGCTGTTTGAGTGCTAACATCTAAAGTAGCTGATGGGCCTTGATATATAAAACCAGTTTCAGATTGGAGTTTCTGAAAATGCTGCTTTATGTGCTAACAACATTTTTAAATTTTTTTCTTTCTTTGTTCTAAGAACTGAGAGGGATTAAGGTAAAAATGTATTTCTTGATAGACACTGTGATGCACTTGGTACTTCATTAACTATTCCTTGTTAAAGACATGACTAGAGAGAAATAGAGTGTAGGTAAATCAACTAACAGGATTGTTTAGATCTCCTTGTGCTCTTGCTTAAGACTCACTAGAAGGAGGACAGGCTTCATGGACAAAGCATAGAATAGCTCAGTAGCAAAGTCTGCACCCTAAGGTATTAATGCATGGGCTTTGTGCGTATCAAAATCTCTGTGGCTTACCAAATTACCTTGCATAAGCAGAAAAATATTAGCTGTCCTCGGGCATTTCAGGTGATTGTGAAGTTGTGCTGTTTAGCTAAGGCCCACTGGGGCAGAGGTAACTTATATTATCATGTATTTGCTAAGACATATTCAAACAGCTGACAAAGCTTATCTGATGCATGGTGACTTGATCATGTGTCTGGGCCTTTGTATTTTTGGTTTTTAAGTGGTAGCAGATTCCTTGGGCATGTCAAGGTCCAGCTGAGTAATGCCCAGCTGGAGTAACCAGGTTTGAATTACCTGCTATCTGACTGCACGCATGTTAGCTGATGCACAGTAGGCAAAGGGGATGTCAACACCAATATCTGAAGCTTCCTGTCTGCTTAGTGAAAGAGAGGAAGTGGTAGGTGTATTCTGAAAGGAGAGGTCTGTAATGTTCATCTTGTTAACTGAGGTCAAATTTACAGTTCACTTGGCCTGCATTTTGTTAGAGTTAGATTTGGCTGGGAGAGGAAATATAGTGAGCATAAGCTGAAAACTCAGGCAGAATTTCTGGCTTCCCACAGAATGTTTCAGCACAGCAGAATTTGTATTCTGCACATAATAACTGCGTATTGACTGGTTAAATAGGCCTCTTGAAATGTGTGTTTGCTTTCTGTCCCATCTTCTAATTGTGTAGAATTACAATTGCATAAGCAGAACATGGCACGGGAAGGAAGTCAATCTCTTGTGCAAGCACAAAAATATGGCACTCATGCTTCACTTTTGGGGTCCTACATTGAAACCTGATTAGATCAAAAAGAACTTTTTTTGAGGCAGATGTGTAATGGGGATTTTTAGCAGGCTAGAAGCAGCACTGGAGAGGAATTCTACTCAGTCAGAATTGGGTTTCGGTGGGGACTGCTGTGGTGTTTAGCTGCTTCATTTGCGTTTATCAATCCTGACTTCTACCAAGCAGTAATGTTTTAAGTGTTGTAACTGTAGCTTGTAGGCAGTATGTGAACTATAGCTGGATATTCAGGCTACCTTTGTGTTGGTGGCTGGCACTGACCTTTCATAGCTCTGAGTGCTCATTTGTATCAGTTGAAAGGTTAGGCATCCTGACTGTCTGTCTGCTGCAAGATTTGCTTTCGGGCTTTTTTTTTTGTTTGTTTTTTTGTTTTGTTTTAATAATGTGTGTGTTTCGAGGGGGGGTGGGGCCTGTTTGGTTTTGGTAATTCTGTATAAGCAGATTGAGTTGGGGTTGGCCCAGGAGACTGCTTGCCCTCCAGGATTATAATTCTGTCCCTTATCTCTTGCAAGAGTGGCTGAGACAACCACAAAGCTGAGTCATGCCAGCAACCACCAAGAAGCAGAAATAGCAAAGATCAGTACTGCAGCCACACAACACCACTGGGGTGCTTGGTGGCTTTGAAATGGGTGATGCAATTGAGCCCCTTGGTGCATTTTTGGGACTGCAGAATGGAGCCGGGTACCTCCTGTGTTCCTGTTAAATAGGTATGGAGGGAGGAAGGGTTTGAGGAACTGGTTGTGAGTCTTAGGCTGTGGACACTACCAGCATTACAAATGTTGAAAGCAGAATTCTGAAACTAGCCACAACTAAGAAGAAAACTGTTATGGTTTCATTTTCCTGCTTGCTTGTCCTTTGTACAACAGGCACACGTATTAATAAAGATTATGTTAACTTTTTCTTTCCCCAGTGTTTCTTGTAGGATTAGTAGAATACTGAAGGCAAAACTAAGGAGATGGGACCTCTTGATGCTGATTTATGAATTTGCACAGGGAAATGGTGGGGGTGGTGGTAGTGGTGTGTGTTTGAAAATCAGCTCTGGACTTTGTTCCTTAAGGCAACCAACCTACGAAATCACGTGCCACTATCATTACTGGGTTTCTGAGAGTGAGAAACAAATGTTGATGCAAGCTCGGGAAGGATTTGAGCTGTAATAAAGCTTAGAATAATATGAAAGTGCTTCATAATACTGTTCTTAACCTGATCTCTCTGCCTTTCTTAGCAGTGAAGGAGACAGTCTCTGAGAATGAACTCTATGGGAGACTTTTTATAAACAGAGTTTTCCACATCACTGCAGACAAGATGTTTGAAATCCTTTTCACCAATTCTCACTTCATGCAGAGGTTTCTCAATTCCAGGAGTATAGTAGGTAATAAACTCTTCTGCCTTCTATGTTACAAACTACCCTGAAAATTTTGACCGTTAAGAATTGCTAAATAGGGCTAAGTTGAATTTTAAATTTGTTCTTGCTTTAAAAGAATTTTGAAGCTTTGAAGTTTCACTATGAGAGAGGATATTTAAAGCTAGACTGTTGCTCCCATAGATATGTAGATCAGTCATATTTTGGAGTAAAAACCTTATTTCAATGTACCTTAATGCAAAACTGCACCTTAACGGCTGAATTTTGGGTCGGCTATTAAGTTGATGCATTCTGTGGGGTATTTCTCGTTACATTGTGTCCCAGAAATAGTGAAATTTGTATGGCTAGCACAATGATTGCATCCTCTTAAATGATACTCAAAGGCTTTAATTTTCTAGATGAGTAAGTTTTATTCACTGAGATCATAAGAACAGAAAATTAAGTCAAAAAGGGTAATATTTATTCAGTGTCAGCTTGGAAGGCGAAGTGGCAAAAGCGTTTGATAATGCTAAGTGAATCAACTTTAAGCAGATGGGAAATTACATATTTTCATTTAATTGCATATACTTTTCTATACCTTCAAGTCTCTTCGAGTAGACTCAGGTTCAGCTACTTAGTGCTTTCCCTTTGTTCATCAGTGAGCTACAATTTCCCCTTTCCTGAAGAAAACCACAACTATTTGGAACCAGTTTTCTGTCTTTCTCCCCACTGCTGTTCTTGAGCTGTTAAGATGTGACTGGGCAGAGATAATGCCTTTTAGGTAACTTGTATATGAGATTTTGCATAACTTCTCATCTAGATGCTGTATCAACCCCTTGGAATAGAGATTCCAATGGCAATCAGTTGAGGACTTTGACGTACACTGTAACCATTAACAATCCACTTTGTGGGAAGTTCACAACTGCAACTGAAAAGCAGGTACTGTGTGTATGTGTGTGTCTGTCTGGTGCCCTTTAAAGCAAGGGAGAGGTCAGCTCTATGGTCTGTCAGAGTTCTGACCACAGATTAAAGTTCAGTGAGCTGAATGGGCATCTGTGGTTTAAATGTGGTATCTCTAAGGGTGGCTTGCAGCCCCTCTCAACATTAGTGAGCAAATGGTCATGAAATTAGAGAGCAGATTTCTACCTTTGCAGATGGCTGTAAACTCCCACAGAGTTTGTGGGGAAAAGTATTAACGCCTCTTAGGAATTGGGGGATCAAAAAAATGCAAGTAAATGCTTTCAGTGTTCATTTCTGGGATTCCCAGTACGAGAGGTGAAGAGTGAAAGGGCCACTAAGATGATGAAGGGACTGGAGCATCTCATAAGAGAAACAACTGAGAGCTGGGAATATTCAGGTGGAGAAGAGAAGGCTTGAGGGATCTTACAATGTAAAGAAGTATCTGGAGAGAGGTGCAAAGAAGTCTGAGCCAGGCTTTCACCACCACCAGAGGCCACAGCTTTCAGTGGTGCCCAGTGACAGGATCAAGGTGATGGATACAAACTGAAACACAGGTGATTCCTTCTGAATATCAGGAAACACTTTTTTTTTCCTGTGAGGGTGCATGAGTAGTGGAACAGGTTGTCCACAAAGGTTGTGGCATTCCTTCCTTGGAGATACTGGAAAACTACCTGGACATGGTCCTGGGCAACTTGCTCTAGATGGCCCTGCCTGGGAACAGTTTCTGGACAAGATGACCACCAGAGATGCTTTCCAATCTCAACCATTCTGAAATTCTGCTTTGGGAAAGGTGCAGGTCTCAACAGAAGAGCTGTGGTAACGAGTCAGTGGCCAGCCTTGCATCTGGTACTTGAAGTGGCAGTGGAGGAGTATTGCTGCTGCCTAGGCTGGTTCTAGCAGGAGGCATCTTCTCTTTCCTCATCTCATCTATATTTGACACTCTTAACTGATTTTTATGGTGGTTCTTCAGGCTTCCTTGATCATCTAGCCTAAGGAACTCAGGCTGAAAGAGGGAAAAAAATTGTGTACCATGAATATACCTTCTAATTTTTACTTTCTTTTATGATAGATCCTGCATAAGCAGAGCCAGAAAGGTCAGTCTTACCAGGTGGATGCTGAGGTACTGACCCATGATGTCCCCTACCACGATTATTTCTACACTGTGAACAGATACTGTATCAGCCGCACGTCCAGTCACAAGTGTCGATTGCGGTGAGCCTGGGTGGGGCACAGTGGGAGGGGAGAAACCAAGGCACAGGTCTTACAGGTTGGTGATGCGTGCTTATTAAAAAAATCTGCCTACCAGCAGCATAGAGATTGTCGGTTTCTCTTGAAGTTGGAGATATCTTCTGAAACATAAGCTTGGTTTATTCCTTGTCACATGTATGCTGTATTTGGATCTCATTAATGCAGTGAGAAATGAACTCGTGTTGACTCTGAGGTACAGAACTCGTCTCCAGCTGGGTTCTGACCAGCCGTGGGTTTTGGAGTGCAGCTGTGTGAGTGGGATCCGTTGGAACAAATGGAGATGTTTTATTACAGAGTTTCCTAGATATCCTTGCTAAGGGCCTGCAGAGGAGGGTGGTTTCACCAAAAGGTGTAGGAAAGATGGAACATACTCAGCTTTCCTGGGAGGGTACTCAACTAAACTATACCTAGATAGGAGAGTTCCTCTCTCATTTGTTGAAAACATTTGAAGTGATCAAGTTCCATGTTCAGTGCATTTGCATGGCTCTCTGACTATGTAATCCTTGGTAGTTCTTGTGCAGTCATTAGTAAGACCTTGTATCTCAAACTTCAGCAGGAAAGGTAAGCAAGCCTGGATTCTGTTCTGGCTTATTTCAGGCTATAAAAGTACTGAAGACTCCCCCTCCACTGGGAGGAGGATGGAAGAAAAGTCCTTGAACTACTGTTCTGGATGATTTTTTTTTTTAGTGAATCACTTCCTCTTTGAGAGCTAGATTTGTTTTATCTGAGGCACATGACAACCCTAGGGTAAGAGTAAAAACCTAGGTTTCAATATGGTGCACAGAGCAGGCATGTATAGAATGGAAGGCACATGGTGATATTACAGCTAGCCTTATTATACTGTGTTTAAAATGGCTCAAAAACTCTATTTGAAAGATTTTATTCTGTTAGACTAGAAATGCAGTGGGCTTACATTGATTTGGAAGATTATTTGAAAAGTTGAAAAAAGTGTATTCTAGGATGGTCAGTGTTCTTCACTGAAACTGAAGTCACAGGCTATATTTTTGTCCTTTATGGAGAGCTTTGGGATTCACTCAGTTGCTAGAAGCATCCTTCTGAAGGATTCTGCTCTGGTTCATTTTTATTGTGGAAGTGTTATTGATTAACTTGACCTGGGGAATGGAAGCCAGGAATGCCCTTTCCCCTCTGTCATGCTCACAGAAAGACAGATTTTAATTTCTGTCTACTCAGGGTGGGGTCTGAGCACTTGATGTGTGAGTGGTGATAATGAATTTTACTTGCTGCTTTTGAAGTGCCCATGCAATATATAATAATATATATATATATTTAAAATAATTTCAGATCATGAAGTCCTGATTTTTACTTTGTATGTGTACACATACAAAGTAAAAATCAGGACTTTATGATCTGAAAGCCTGAATCTTATTTTTAATGTATGCTAAAATGAGAATGATTCAGTGGGTAAAAATGGTCTGCTAGTCTGAGTCTGAAGGAAAACAATTCAAAATGTTTCCCATAATTTGGACCTTCAGATTGTGAGGCTTTAGCTAGAGATGTTGTCTTTACTACTGTCTATTGCTTGCCTTTCTTCAGTGAAAGTGCTTCCCAGGTGTAAAGCCAGGGCAGTTCCAGTTGGTGTTTCAGATAATAGACCTAAGTTAGAGGCCTACTTCTGGTAAGAGATTTTTGTTATCACTGTGCTGCCTAGAAGAGCACTCTTTCATTATTGCATTCTGTTTACTAGGGTTTCTGCAGAAGTGAAGTACAAAAAACAGCCTTGGGGCCTTGTCAAGTCTGTAATTGAGAAGAATACATGGGGAGGAATACAGGAAAACTTCAAACAACTTGGTGAGGCATTTTCTTCTTTGTGCTGGAGTAAGGAGGCTGCCTTTGCTCTGTATGCTTTCACATCTGTCAAACTTGGTTCCTTAAAGAATGGATTGAAAAAAAGGCAACACCTAAGCAAGTCTCGAAGACAGAATTTCCTGTCATCAATATATCTGCCAGTTCCAGGGTATGAAAGAAACCTTGTGGCTAACAAGGAGCTCTTGTATACCTTGTCGTAATTGCTTTCTGAAGGAAACATGAAGAGCAGCAGGAAAGCTGTTACTCTCAACTACATGTGCTTATCTCTAAGTATTTCCTTGATTGTGCACATGAAAAGAGAAGCAGTGGCACTTGGCAGACTCCATGGATATGTCTGTTAACAGCCTGACCAGCCACAGCTTCAGGCTTGCAGTCTAACACAATTCCTAGTCTCAGTCTAACAGTGTTTTGCAGTGCTCTTCTGGTTGCTGTCTTGCATATCATTAAACAATCCTGGCTAGGCTAAATATTCACCCATCTCTGAAAAGTGTTCCAAGTGCCCTCTAGAAAAGAGGACAGGTGGTACAGGTCAAGGTGTAGTTTGTTAGACCTGCTTTAAATTTATTTAGTAAATAGAAGGTGCACTTGTTACTCTCACTGCCGCTCTCCATAACTCACACTTTAAGTCTTCAGTGCTAAGCTTTTCAGCTTTGCTTTTGACAGTTCAGTAACTTTGTTTTTTCCACTGCAGAATCAGATCTCCTAATGGAGGAATATGCAATTAATCAGTCCATAGAAGACTCTGGAAAATTAGTTGCTCTGAGACGAAGACGACGCACTTTACACCGGGGTCTGGCAGAATCACTTCCCAAACGCTCTTCCCAACATTCCTCTGGTGACATGGGAGTAGAGTCCCAGGGCAGCATAATAGGTAGGAATTTTTATATTGTGTTTTCCAAAAGGTGTGTTGAAGGAAGCACAACTCTTAAAATAGTGCAAGAGTAGTACTTGTGTATATATTACTCATGTCTTTATCTAATCAGTGTGATAGCAAATACTTTAACATGTTCAAGTTTGCATAAAGTAGATTTGGAGTGTGCATAGTCACTTTTAGCATGATTATCTCATGAAATTAAGCTTAATATCACCTTCAGTTTTAAAACCTAAAATGCTGCTCTGAATGTGCATAAGATTGAAAATGAGACTGGATCAGAAAAAAAATTAACCTGACTCTTGCACAGTTTCAGAAAAATTGCTTTGTTTCTTCAAATAACAGCATACCCAAGTCATGAGTTGATTAAACTTTGTCAATTGCTTCTTGGCCTGTCACCTCATTTTTTTATTTTATTTTTAATGTTAAGAAGTCTGTTTCCCATCTACTTTTGTGTTTTCTGGGTCACTGAAGCACTTCTTGCAGTTCCATTGCTCTAAGGCATGACAGACTTGGCCACTAGCACATACAGTATTAGCTATACCTAGAGAGATCAGAAACATCCATGCACTAATGTGTACCAGAGAATTGCGGATTCCATGACAGAAGTTGAATTGTAAACAATGAAGTAGGAGCAAGTGCACTTCTCTGAAGGGGGAGGCAACACTGAGTATAGCACTGAGAGAATATTTGAATCAGCAGCATGTGTAAAGGACTGTTTACCTACCTGAAATTGCTTCTTGATTACTTAATTTTGCTACTGCTGCTCCACCTTTTCAGATGAGCGTGTCTGTCTCTGTATACACTACAACTTTCATGTATGTCCTTTTCTCCAGAGCAGGAAGTGTGAATGTAGGAAACTGTAATTACATTTAAAGATTAGTCTGCCCCCAGAGGTAGGTGATTGCTTCTCAGTTTGGAGAGGACATGCACACTTCCTCTCCCTCCAAATGTCTGGTCCCTGTTGCCTGATGCATAGCAGATTGCCTTTTGAAAGGCTGTCTTCAGGACAATAGATAAACCAAGCCAGTAATGATGGGACAGGTCACAGGAGAACTTGATTGGCACTGATTGTCAGAAAGATTAATGTGAGCATGAGAACAAGCAGCAAAGAGCCACTTTGCAGCCTGTCTCTGCTCATGTGTGACCAGCAGTACGTGTGGTGAAGGCGTGTTATAAGGGATGGATTGTAGCCGCCTCAGGCTGTCTACATTTAGTGGGAAGATAACCCAGTGCTGTGTTCTCCCTAGCATACTGGGGTAGGGGGAATTCTGATGGGAGAGCCTGACTGTTCAGCTTGACTTGTTGGAGATGACTGCAAAAATGCCTTGGTGAATGTTGGAGATGATCCTGTGCACCCACATGATCTGTTATTTTTTTCCATCAGAAGCTGTTGAGCTATTCTCTGTGAAGTGCTGGGCACTGACATATATCTGCAGGCATCATTTAGGAATGTTCTTCAGTACTTTTTAACCTCCTTCTCTTCCATGCCCTATAGGAAGGAAAAGAGATGCAGTAAGTAGGACCACCACCATCATTGTAGTAATGAGTGTCTTGTAAGTACTCACTTGCATTAAAATGTGGCTTGACTCAAGCTCATCTTAGTCTTTATCTGTTTTTGTCTATTCCTCTTTTGCATGGTAACACTGCATGTAGCATAATAGATCTTAACCTAATTTGAGTGGAACACATGGGTATAGGAGGGGAATGGATTGACTTAGAAATGACACTTGGAATGAAAATGCTGATTTGCCAAACTCTACCTTCCAGATTTTCTTAGATCTGATCATACTAAAAAAAAAGTCTAGAATTTACTAATTCTTAGTTTTAAAAGTTCCAAGAGGAGATACTGTTGCTCTTTCTATTTGTTCCTATTACACAGCTTAACATTAACTCCTAAGAATTGTTTGGATAGATCTCTGTTTTCAGTATAGTTCTGCCCCACACTTCTTGCTTCCAGAAGGATTCTATTTCCTTAGCTGCTTTTAGCCTAGATCTTGCTTCTGTAGCATCGCAACTGAAATTCTTACACGACTTGGATTTTTGTTGTCTTTACAGTTTGCTGCTCTTGGTCTTGCTGAATATAACACTGTTTCTCAAACTGTCAAAGATAGAGCATGCAGCTCAGTCCCTCTATCATGTCCAGCTTCAAGAAGAAAGCTCTTTGAAGTAAGTCGAATTAACAATCTTTGTTTGCTTTCTTCCTCAGCTTATATGAGAATCTGATCTAAAGAAATAAATTTCAGACAATTAAACTCAGTGGCAAGTTTTCATAAGTTGCTGGGGCTAGCTGTGCTTCTGTGGTCTGCGTTGAGATCCAGTGACATGCCTGACTGCATCTTGCAGTAATAAGTTTCTCCTTTGACAAGCTGGGTTTTGGGGAACATTAACCTTAGTTCGCATTTATCACCCTGTTGTGACTCATCTTCTGTGAATATCACAGAACCAAAGTGTTCATCCTGTGTGAACCAGCATGATCTCAAATGTAATCTTTAAGACTACATTTAACTTGCTAGCTTCTTTCTGTGAGTCTCCTGGTAAATCTCTCCCTCACCAACTTCCATGTTGCATGCCTTTTGTATTTGGACCCGGGAAGATGTTGCTTCCTCTCTTGAATACAGTATCAACAATTAAGTTAAAAACCATAACCTGATGCTGAGTCTGGAAATGATGTGGTGACCTCCCATAGTGACCATCTTAGAAGTGATTAGAACAACTTTATTTATAAGAAAGATTTTGCTCACTGAAGTGTGAGAACTCGTCGTAGATGTAATGTGAGCACATTTCTTGCTTGGTGGCTGTTGCCTACAAAGGTGTGAAACAATATCTTCAAGGCAGCAGGGATTGGAATTCTACTGCAGGGAGCTTTTTGTGTGGCTTTTGTAAAAGGGTGGTTTTAGTAATGGCAGAGCAAGGGTGGCAGAGAGCAGTTGTTTTTAAAAGGTGTCAGGGTTCTGTTTCATGTTTCTGATGTAATCTCAATCTTTTTCAGCATATCCCCAGAAATGGTATCAAAAGAAGAGATCCCTCAGTATGACAAGGAACAGGTTCAACATGTAAAGGGAGTCTTAAGAGACTCAATTGAAATGCTTGAGCAGGTAGGTCTGACAATCTTTCTCTGGTGATGTTCTTGTTTCTCAACTCAAGTTTTCTCTCATATGCTATCATACCTTTTGTTTGATGTCCTCTGGTGCTAACTAAAGTTTTCGTGATTCCTTGATCTGTTTTGCCCTAGGCTTGAATTTAGTAAGTAGGCAGTGCTTACCTTTCTGATGTTTTTGGTTGGTTGGGTTTTGGTTTGGGTTTTTTGTTTGTTTGTTTTGACTAAGATATAAGTATTAATGTCAGTTTTCTTAAAACTTGTCAAGTACCTGTATTGATGAGAGGTGTTGATGCAGTTCTGAATCATGACAAAGCAAAGACTGGAGTGTTTCAAAACACTTTGCTTTTTAAGACTCATGTTGAGATGTCTTAAGTATTTTCCCACCTCATTATGGGGTGTCTTTCTTTATCCTGGCTTTTGTTCCCCATTACTCTTATAGATATTGGATAGAGCTTCACTTAGCCTTGGTATCAATGGCCCACCTGATCTCCAGTGAAAAATAAATAACTTTAGACCAAATGTTTCTGAGAGGCTCCATAGTTATAGAATTAATCCTTCTTTACAAGTAACTTGCTGAATGCTGTTGTCTCTCTGGTCCTGAAGTCTCTGACTGGTAAATCCCTGGCTGAAATTTCAACTCAGTGAGGGACAGTAATTCATGCTTTAGTTTTAACTTGCAACCCATGAATGTTCTGATTTTAAGTTCTTCTATTAAACCTTAAAACGTGATGGAATAAATTATTAGATTAGGAAAGCTACGAGGGGAGTTCTCATGTACCTCTATCCATCACCAGTTTGCTCTGTGTTCTTCCATGCATTAAGAGTGGGTAGAAAAAGAAACCATTTTTGTATTCCTTGTTTAGAGGTGTCTCTGCACACAGAATTGCCATTAATCTATTAATTAACCACTTTGATCACAGCATGGTTTCCGTGCCCTTTTCATTTTCTCTCCTTGCTATCTAAACAATTCCTAGTTCAGAAGTGTTAAGTACCTTCTGAACACACAGTGTAAAAAAGAAAAGTGAGAATTTCACCACCTTTTTTATCCCAAATAACACTTTTTGCCTGGAAGTTCTGACACAGTGCCTGTTACCTTGTGTTTTCTGAGGGTTGTCAATAATCTAAACACATTTTGTGCACCAAAATGCATTAGGAGGGCCAGGTATTAAAAGGAAATTCATGTTTTGCTGCCATGTTCCTTAGTATTTGCTATGAACATTATCTGTGACTAAAACTGAGTGGGGTGGCTTATCTTATGCACTGTTGTCTGGTGAGGTGTTAAGACTTTATCATCCTGGACTGTTAGTATTTATAAACTGTACAGGATATAGCTGTTAAGAGAGCACAGTAAGCCAACTGTTTATGGAAACAGGGAGGAGGAAATCACATGAAGTCTTGGGAGAAAAAAAAAAAGGAGTAGGGAGACATTATTTTCCTGATACCACTCACCCATGCAGGAAATTAACTTCAGTAATTGGCGGGGGGGGTGTTGTGATGGTTGTGTCTTTACAGCTGAAGACTTCCCTTTCCATGCTCCAAAGAAGCTTTGACCACTTGAACAGGACACAGAGCAGCAGGACTGAGAGTTAATACCACTTCAGCTTTTTGTTCAAGATGTGGGAAGAAGAGATGTGTGTGTGAGGACTTGTGGGGTAGTGAATATAACTGTCACCTTTGGACTCTTCACTGTTTGGCTCAAAAGCTGTACAGAATAAAGGTTTGTGGAAGAAGTAAGTTGGGTTCTGCATTCCCATAGCTTGGCAGCTTTGTCTGTCCTGCCAGCCTTCTACCCTGGGGAGTCTTGCTTATGAGCAGTGCAGAGCTCTTGGATCCCAGAGCTCTTGGATCCTGTGGTGAGTGAATGAGGGCAGTTGTACTGCTGGTTAATGGATCTGCAAATTCCTGAGCAGGGAGAACACCCTCAGCAGAGAGAAGGGCTTGTCTTCAGAAAATCACATCTTTTTATGTCGACTTAGAAAATGACCACCAGTGAAGAGTCTTCTGGAGAAAAAGAATGGTGGTGGTTCCTCAGCCACTGGATCTTCATATGCTTTCTTTTTAGCCATGGGGACCTTGTAAAACAACTCATCATCCTAAGGATGAATATGCCTAAGATTAATTAACAGGAAAAGGCTTGATATCTCTTGCACAGTGCAAGCTTTGGCAGTCTGCCTTTTGCCATATGTTTCCAGCTCTCCCAGAGAAATTTCAGCCCTCGGTATTTTCCCTCCATCGAGGGCTGCGCTTCAGCTCTGTAGTGCGGTGTGCCCACTGATGATTAAACACCTTGGAGCAGATGAAACCTGCTTTTTCTAGGCAGGCTGAGGGGAAGAAGATGAATATGAAAGCCCCAAAGCCTGTGGAACGCCTGCCTGCCCGCGGGCTGGCCCGTGGTTGTGGGACAGCGCTGGCTGCGTGGTGCTCAGCCTGTGTGGCGCTGGGGCGAGCCCAGGGAGGTGCCGGGTGTAGGTTGTGTGTGTGGGTCCCCCAGAGTCCTGGGGCCACAGCCCTCCATTGGGCGGGAGGTGGGAAACTTTCCCAGCCTTGTGAGCGGAGCCGCCGGGCCGGGCCGGGCCGGGCGGGGCCCCCACGGTGCCCCCGCGCCCTCCCCGGCCGCCACCTGTTGCGCTGCCCCTTTAAGGCAGGTGCCCCCGCGTCACGCGCGGCTCCGCCCCCCTGTACCGCCATTGGGCCTTTCCCTGGCCGGGCCCCGCCCCCCCGCACACCTCGGGCGCGCCCGGCCAATGGCGGGCGGGCGCTGCCGGGGGGGCGGGGCCGCGCAGGGCGGAGGCGCGGCGGGCGCGCGGCACCTGCGGCGGCGCTGTGGGGCGGGAGGCGCGTGCGGCGCCGGGAGCGGCCGGGCGGGCGCGATGGACGAGCCGCTCTGCTGCTGCGAGTACGTGGACCGGCGGGGCCGGCGCAGCCACCTGGCGGCGTGCTGCTGCGACTGCCAGGAGCTGGACGAGGGCTGCGACAGGTACCGGCGCCGCGACCCCCCGGGGGCCGCCCGGCTGCGGGATCCCTTCCCGCGGCGCTGTCCCTGCCCTCAAGGCAGCGGGACTGCGCCCCGCTTCCCGGGGAACTTGTCGGGAGGGAGGGCAGGGGAAGGGCACGGGGAGCGCGGTGTCCCGGTGCCAGCCGGCGCTGTGCTTCCCCGCTCCGTAGGTGGCTGGCGTGCAAATCCCTGCCCCCGGGAGCGCTGGAGAGCATCGCCGACACCATCGCGGACCGGCTGCGGGTCCCGTGGTTCTCGGGGGCCGTGAAGATCAACGTGAGCCTCGTACCGCCGCTCGTCCTGCTGCCCGTGCTGCTCCACGTTGCCGCCCTGCACTTCCTGCTGGGGCTCCTCGTCCTGACGTCCCTGCCCGTGGTGCTGCTCTGGTACTACTATCTCACCCACCGGAGGAAGGAGCGAACCCTCTTCTTCTTGAGCCTGGGGCTCTTCTCCCTGGGCTACATGTATTATGTGTTCCTCCAGGAGGTGGTTCCCCGGGGCCACGTGCAGCATTCCCAAGTGGTCGCTCTCACCTGCGGGTTAATCCTTATGCTCGCAGCCCTGACTCGAGCCAAGAAAGACCCTGGCTACCTTCCCATCCCGACAGGCAATGAGAAGCCATCGCACCAGGGCTTGCCCAACAGGAATGTTAGAGGGAGCTCCAGCGGGCTCCATGGTGCTGCCAGCAGCCGAGCTGTGAATGGGGAGGCCAAAGGCTATTCCAGGGTGGCAGCTGATGAGCCAGAAGGTGTGAAAAAGGACTGGTGCACCAAATGCCAGCTGGTCAGGCCAGCCCGAGCAGGGCACTGCCGGCTTTGTGGCAGGTGTGTAAGAAGGCTGGACCATCACTGTGTCTGGTAGGTTTTGCACTGCTGAGGCTACGTGTGTTCTCTCTGTCTCTGAGTTCCCCCCTTTTTAAAGTTAGCTTCTTTTTTTACAGTCTCTGTCAAATGGGGTTGCTTTTGCTGTGTGCAAGACCTGGGAACATTCTTTAAATATAAAAAGCTTTTGTATTTCCCCTTTTAAAGAACGGTTAGAAGCACTGTTTATTCTAAGTGGGTTGACCTGATAGCTAATAATTTCTACAGCATACTTCAGAATTGCCTTTACTTTTCTACTGGCTTTCATCACTCTGGGTTGTTTTTTTGGTTATTAGTACTCTCCTGGAGGAAAGGAATCCAAAACTGCCTATGTACAGGCAGTGCTGGAAGGAGCACTGGAGCCAAGGGTATGATGGTATGATCATACCCTACAAGGAGCAGTAGGGTATGATGTGTCTCAGCAAAGGATAAACTTGCTAAAAATTTGAGGCAAACAATCTGCTGCCAGTCTATTGACTTGTGCTTATAACTTTTCTATAAAAAGCTCTAAAGCTTCTTTGAACATATTTCAAAGTTCTTAGCCTGTGTTGTGTGGAAACACCTTGGAAATTAGTTTCTCTGACATCTGGGGGAGGGAGGAAGAAAGAGAAGCCAGTTTCTTTTCTTTTTTAAGCAAAGTAATCTCTTCTTTCCTTTTGGAGGATTAACAGCTGCGTAGGGGAGCAGAACCATCAAGCATTCATCCTTGCACTCTCCTTCTTCATGCTCACCTCTGTGTATGGGATTACACTGACCCTGCACACCATCTGTAGGGGACGAACTCCGTTTGTGGCATTGTTCTACTGCCCTGGGGCCTATTCTGACTACAGGTGAGATGTCTGGGAGAGAGCTGGGGTGGGAACAGGATTGGATCAGGCAGCTTAGCTCCTGTTGGCCGTCAAACCTGACCAAAAAGTGCTCCCTGAAAAGCTCTGGAAAGCAAAGGTGCATCACTGGTTTTGCCAAGGTAGGCAGCCTGAGACTTAAACAGGGAGGAGTGAGCTCTCTCTGTTTATCAAGTGAATGTCCCTCCAAGTTGTCTGTTTAGAATAGTCGGCATCAACATGCCTTGTCTGGCAGGGAAGGTGCTGAGAACTGTTGGACATGAGTTCAGAGACCAGCACTACCAGTGATGAGCAGAGCATAGGGCTGGTGAACAAGTGACTCTTACCTTCCTTTGTATTCCATCTCGTGACCTGTTGAGTGTGAGCATCCTTGCGTTCTTTACAACAGGAAGAGTAAAGAGCTAGGCTGTGAGGTAGCAACGTGCAGGAGTAGCTCTGGTAGCACTGAAATTTCTCATTAAGTGAGTCCTGAAGCTTTAATTTTGAGAAAGCCTTTAAGGATTATCTGATGAAAGCAGCAAAGTGAGATCACTGTGGCAGATGTAGACAGGGATTTGAAAGGATAGTGATTACCAGGGAAAGTCACTCTAAAACAGCTGCTCCAAAACTAAATGGCTTCCTTCCCATCTTTTTCCCTGCTGCCAGCTCTGCTCTGTCGTTCACCTGTGTATGGTACTGTGCCATTGTAACAGCTGGCATGGGATACATCCTCCTCATCCAGCTGTTGAACATCAGCTACAACGTGACCGAGAGGGAAGCTCGGCTGGCTCTGCGGGACAACACTGGTCGCAGACTCCTGGGTGGGTTGGTGATAGACACTGGCCAGTATAACAGGGGCTTCCTGTGCAACTGGGGCCATTTCCTGAGCCTGGGGTCTTCTCCTCCACAGCGCTCTGCCGAAGACATCGTGTGACACCCCTCTTTCTGCAGCTGATGTTGACTGACTCTTTTTAGCAGGGGAGCGGCCCCTTCCACTGGGACTCCTTCCCCGCACACCCTTCCTTCGTGGTTGGTGTACGGGCTGCCTGTCTCCCCACTGACAACATCAGAGGTTTTTCCAGGCAGAATGGTTCTTTGTGTACTGTCAGCCAGCAATAGGATGCACAAAGTACTAAGCCATATGCACAAACGTGGAGAGAAGGAGCCTACTGCCTCTTTCCACCATGGGAAACAGGAAGAAGAGCACAAGATTTTGTAAGAACTTGAGTTTTCATTAGGCGTGAACCCTGGCATCAAGACGAATGCACTGCTGGGCTTCAGAGTACGCACTGGTTCCTGCAAAGGTTGAGGAATCCCTGGTCTGTACTTAACATGCAGCGCTTTGGAGATGTCAGGAGGATGAACTTTGGATACAGATAACAGATGGACCCCTGCAGGAGCCAGGCTGTTTGGCCAAAAGAGACTGTCTAGGCAGTCACTGGGTATTGCTCTCCTCTCTGGTGCATTTATTTATTTTTACTATCTCTTATTCCATCCAGCTGTGTACATGCTTCTATTAAGTGCCTTTGTGAGCTACATTCCTGTAGGGCTGGGTCTGTGCTAGTTTGAAGTCTTGGCTCATCTCCCTCGAAGTGTTTCTGCTCTGATTATGGATTGTGACTTGAGACAGCAGGTAAGTATACCAAGGAGGAGATGTTTTGAAGCAACACGTAACAGTGAACTCTGAGGGCAAAACAAGAGTGCTGCCTGCCTGGTGTTACTGTAGCTTTATGGAAATTACCATCCCCCTCCATCGTGGGAGAAGGCAGTCTGTGGGAGAGTAGGCAGTTCTACTAACTGTTTTTGGTAGGTGGTGTATTGGTCAGTTGTGTTGCTAATAACATAGTGATCCCATCTGCTCTCAGCCCAGTTACTGTGAAGCTGCCTGATTGTAGATCTGTTTTCTCAAGCCAAGAAGCCAAGGAATAAATCAGCCTCTGCATATGTAGGGAGAGGAAGAGGATGTGTTGGAGGTCTCTGTTTTGGGGATAGATGACCTGTACTGACAGGTGAATGTTAGCATGTTGAATGTGCTCTGCAAGAATGCCATT